TTTTGTCATATCTCGTTGTTAATGTGAGGTTTTTGGGGGGGTTGTGTTTGTTCCCTCCCCCCCCCCCAATTTCTCAATGTAAAGTTTACATCAGTTCTTGTGCAAAATTATTTTGTATATGTGGTGTAAATATGCATCTGCATTGTATAAATTATACAAAGGGTGTGACTATTTTGTTTAGAGAATGTGATTGGAGCCTCCTTGGATGTTATAGATAAAATGTATCAACCAGTTTAAGAGGAAAAAGAAGACGATATGCATCAGTCAACAGACTCTAGCTGTCTTTGTGCTTAAGGTCCCTTTGATCATGTCTTTTGCTATTTTAAGAATTTCAATAACAAGCTCATATAGCAATAGTGATTCTATGTTATTGTAAAATTATGCATATTCTCCCCGTTTTTCACATGAACGAGCATACCGAAAAAGCATATTTTTCATACTGTCACGTTTTATCTTGCGTCAGTGTGAACTCTACATTGTAATGTCACCTTGAAATTGAATCGCCCCCTCTATGACCCCATGAAATTTCCTTTTGACTGTGTTCAGAAAAAGCTATATAAAATCGTGTTCTGAATGATGATGATTGCAGTCTTGTTTTACGTTCAAAAAGAAAAAAAAAAATCAATACGCTCGGATCAGTAAACAGATTTCATAATCACAAGTCGAGCTCTTAGCTGTTTTGTTTTATCTGTACCGTGACATCAGTGCGTTTGACGCGAAGCTCTGCGTTACTTTCTATTAAAAAGTCTGTGAGTCACCAGGGAGCTCAAACTGCATGAGTGACATGTGGCCTCTGCAACTTAGTTTGGTAAAGAGTAGGCTTGGTCTTGATCAGCTGTTGCGCGCCCACTGTAAAAGAAAATCGTCACATCAACAAGCCATATTTTTTCTTAACTTACGCCTGAACGTGTATGTGAATGCTAAAACAAATTCTAAAAAGCATAAATATTGCGAATAGAAAATCATTGTGTTTTGTTACAGTGTTATTGTCTTGTGATTTTAAGATTTGGTATTACTACTTTAATGGATATTTTTTACAGCGCGCTTTCTCCAGATCCTCCCAGCACTTTCCGGACACTTGTTCAGTGCAGACTCATCTGCTACGAGGTATAAAATCAAGCGCCAGAAGAAATGAGATCAGTTCAAGAAACTCGGAGACCACTTCGAAGTTTGTTTTTGGATCAACAAATGTCTTATTGAGTAATGGTGATGTGCCTAACCCAAACAATATAAAGTTTTCCTCATAGAGAGAGAGTCACTTTTTATTTTTATTTTTTTTTCATTTTGCACCAATACCAGAACTTCATTACTGGATTTGAACTCAAGTGGATATGGCAGAGGGAGACTTTTACACGACGGGAAACCGACAGAGGTTTCCCAGAGATCCATTTGGAGAATCGCCATTCATTGATCAGTCTCCATTCAGAGACCAGTCTCCTTTCAGGGATCAGTTAGCGTCTCGGTTTATGGAAGATGAATTTGGGATGCCACCTTTCCCCGATGATCTGTCGATGGACTGGCCGGGGTGGGCTCGTCCGGGCCGGCTAAGCACGCGTCTCAGCTCCTCGCCCTTTAGCAGCAGTTTACGCACAGGTTTTCCCCCGCGTCAGACCACGGGAGGCCCCCAGCTGTATACCAGCAGATACGGCGAGCCCTCCTCCCGGAGTTCACCCACCACTACTTGTGGGGAACCCTGGAAAGTCTGCGTGAACGTCCACAGCTTCAAACCAGAAGAGTTGCACGTAAAAACGAGAGACGGATTTGTAGAAGTGTCAGGTGAGTTGGAGAAATGAAAATTAGACGCTTTTCCTAGAAGAAGAAGTTCAATGAGGATAACAGCTTTAAATGAATCATTTAAAAAAAAAAACCTTCTGGGGAAATTTGATGTCTCATCAATGACACGCTGATATCAAAATGCAGTATATCACTGTGGTAGTCAGTTCTATTTATATAACACATTTAATAACATGCTTCTAAATTCCTTTAGACTTGAATTAGCAGGTCAAAACGTTATGTTTAAAGCCTATTATTAAATATAAATATCACAAATAGAGTGCCATGTACTTGTGAAAGCACATATCTTCATAAGTACACGTGCCACTAGCAGCCTGAAGTAATACTTTAATTCTTTAAGAGAATTTTTTTTTCCATTATAACTTTCATTTCTTGTGTTGTATAGATGCTTACATTTGAAGTACAGCAAATCATTCTTGCATGTTTAAAATGAAGTAAAAGCATGCCTGTTCATCTACTAATTTAACATTCCAGGGTTTCATGAGACTATGCAAAGTGTTTTTATTTGTAAAGACCAAGCATCATGTAAAGTCATAGCAATGCAACCAAATCAAAGAGAAAATCAGTATTCAGTTTAAAGAAAACTTAAAGACAGTATATCCGGAATTCCTTTTTGTAATCTGGTCATGAAATATCTGATCTTTCCCTTCAGCACCATGACTGACACAGTACAGTGAAAAAGCCTCAGTGGTATGATATGGCCTCAGAATTAATGAGTCTCGATATGGAAGAGTGGGACAGATTTGGGTGACTGGGACTTCAAGGCAGGCAGATCCTCAAGCTCAGACACCTGTTTTGGATTCTTGGAGAATCACTCCCACAGCCACCCATGAGCTCAATTTAGATTTAAGGCAAGGCCATGACAACAGTCTCTGTTTACAATAAGAAGAGTTGCTCACTGTCACTAAACACCAGAGAGAGAATGTTCTGGAAATAGGGCCTCACTTTTACCCACAGTTCTCGGGTAGGTTGTGTCTCTGTTGTTGTCACGTTCCTCCTCAGTCACTGATTACTGGAGTGAGTTCTACAAATTGCTTCCTTAACTCAATGTTTCAAGAGACAGCTGAATTCCAGGGATACCCAGGACTGAGGAGGCCACAGAGGACAGCGGCCCCACAGCTCCGAGGCTTTTTTTTTAAACACATTGTTGGTATGCCAGTTGGGTCATTCACTCAGCGCCATGTTGGGGCTGTCTGTCATGGTGACTCATCGTGATCAAGAAGTGTGACTGTGAATGTAATACAAGCAAGTTAGAGGTGTTCAGTACATGAATGAACTAGTCTTTTTAACATGTAAGCATGTTCAAAGTTTACTGAAAGAGGAGGCAAAGATTAAAAGAAGGCCAAGCTGAACACAAATATTGTCTGGAAAAAGTACAGTGTAGCTGCATTTTAACACAGATCTTTGGGGTTTTTTTTATATTTGAGTTAAATTAGAATATCTGGTCTTAGAGACCCACACTGGTGGTCTGTAAAGTAACTCCAAGCAACTTTGCAGTCCATCAGATTTACTGAAACCTGAAATGCAACACAGGGAGAGCTCGCGTGTCCCCAGCAAGAAAATGTCAGCACATGTGTTTTGTTCAAATGCCTAAAATTAGTTTCTATTTATATCTCCTTGTTGTTGGTTGCTCAAGAGAAGTTCAAAAGAAAAGAGGTGAACATTGGCTTGTGAAGTCCCATAATTTAATCCAGATTTTTAGCATTTTACGATTATTGTTGGTGGCCGTATAAGTAAGTGACCGTACTTATATGATAGATTGGACGACTAAGTTGGTAAAAGATTCTTAATATTAATTATTATTAATTAATCCATAATATGTAGAACCTTTTAAAAGGCTTTGCCCAATTTGAGATAAGAATTTTTATTTTTTTTTATCTGCTAATTTGCCTGTTTTTGTTAGCAGGATGCTTTGCTGTATTAGTGCAAGTAGTGACACACAAAAAATGTCACACACTAAAATGGGAAAACAGACTTTTTAGAGCATCTGTAGCCACATAGTAAGGCTTGTCATTTTTCAGATACTTGTATAAAAAATGCTACAAAAGGCTTGAATTGGCTTGGCTGGAGCCTTGTAGGCAGCGTCTAACTACAGTTCCCTTTGTTAGGATCCACCTATCAGTCAAAGTGGCCGTGCTTCTTATATTGCAAACTAAAAGACTCATTACAATTTAAATGAGTGAGTTACTGTATAATAAAATTAATGTTGCAAAGAGCTATGAAATCATAGCTCTAACTTACAGATTATACAGCAGTAAATTAAATCACCCATGCAAAGGACATTTACTTATATTTCATGATTTGGAAGGCACGGAAAAAGTCTTTTTGATCAAATCTGCTCTAATGGAATATTAATATATGAGTATATACTCAATAATACTTAATAGTAAGTAAACAAGAAATACACTAAACATACTGAAGAACCGAGACTAAAATGAATAATGTGAGAAACATTGTTAAATAGAGCTCTAAATTAGTACTGTGACCTGTGGTCTGATCTGCATTTGATTAGATTGGCCAACCTTAAACTACACACAATATGCATTGACCTTGACACAATAAAATTACCTCAGCACAGTCGATTCCTGCAACCAGCTCATAGAAAAGTCTAAATTACTGCGTTTTGTGTGTCTGTCAAGTTTACCTAATTTCTCCTCGTGTTACTAAATTATGGCACTGAGTAATGGCTCGAAAAGTATAACGTCATTATCTTATCCTATCAGATGTTTCATAAAATTTCTTCATAAGTAGCACAAAAAGCTGTATCCTCTATCTGCAAATAAGAAAACTACACCCAAGCTCTTGATATTTGTATTGACAGAAAATTGTATCTGTTACATAAAAACACCACTCTCCTCCAAGAACATGATGTATTACACATCTGGAATCTATAATCTCTGTCGTAAGAAACACATAAATGAGGGCCTTGTTGGACTACTCCCCTGACTAAATCTTTAATCAGGGGACCGATTGTACTTCTTAAGTCAGGATGAAGTTTTCATAATTATCCCATGACATCACTGCTGATCGTAGCTCACTTCTCTCCAGAGCATCACATGTTCTAGCCTCGATCTCTGGAGTCCAGCACTTTGAGCAGCTAGAAACGTCACTGCGGGGGTATAGGATAGGACATAGTCGAGCCTGTCGGGTATACAAAGGGGTCGAGGGGTGGGGCAGGCCATGCTGCTGGCAGCGGCATTGACATTTAGCAGTCCAGGAGCAGCTGCTTGCTAAGGCTGACAAACAGACTGGCCATAAACAGTGAAGGAGAAGATGGAAGAGGTGCTTTTTAGGGTTATATGTTCTCTCTAACATTAGTCTCTCTGCTGGGGAATCATTTTAGGAAACAGCTAAAGAGGAAGAAAGAGAAATCATGTCAACAAGTTCATTGCAATCACAAAGCAAACATTCTGGAAGGAATGAGCAATGGAAAACTGCACGATGTGTGCCAAGCTTTGAGCTCAGTTATATCAACACCTTTTTTTATTTACACCATACTAAAGATCTAAGAAGTCAAAGGTGATGGGTGGACTCTTTATGAGCTGTGTCCATTTGAACTGGTGACCGAGACATTTATAATGCATGACCTTGCCTAATCATTGCGCAACGTCAGACTACATCATTTCTGAAGTTGTGTTCACTCCTTTTCCCAAACAGGAAAGCACGAAGAGAAACAGGAAGAAGGTGGAATAGTGACAAAGAATTTCACAAAGAAGATACAGTAAGTATAATTCTTGAGCTGCACCATTATCATTTTGTTTTCCTGTGCTGGTGCTCATAATGGATGAAAAAGGCTCCAGTTTTCATTATATATGGCCACATACTAGTGCATGTCATAAAATGTAAATATTGTTATGATACAGAGAACTCTCCTGACCTGAACCCCAGATTTTTATCTTAGAAATAATTCTAATAATTTGAGATATGGATTTCTGCTTTTCAGGAGCTATAAACTGGAATCATCTAAATGAAAATAAAAAGCATTTTGAAATATTTCACAACAAATAATGACTATAGAATATGTGAAAGTGAAATGCATTGCATTTTAGACATTATACTTACTAATACAGCCCAGTGCAATGTTAACAGCAAAGCTGTTTGTTGTCAGCTGTTATGATTATGGGACAATTTTCTTTAATGACTTTGGACAAATAGAATTATTAGCATAGTGATGTTTTTTCAATGGCAAAAACTTACTCGTACCTTTCTGCTAGGGTGGTCAGTAACCAGTGGACAAAATAATAGAACAAAACTCTCGTACACAAAATATTTCTTTCTGGCTTTTACTTATTTACATATTACAGTCACTCCTTGAATGAACCACTGACAGCTCAAACACAAGAAGGAAGCACAAAAATCTTATAGTTTTAAACGAAATGTTACACTCACTTCCAATTCCACACGAGGGAGAACCAAGCCCAGGATATAATGCAAAGTACAAAATCAAATCTTCAATCCAAAAACAGGCATCATGCAAAATGGAGCAGGCAGCAAGACAAACAGTATTGTAGATCAGTCAAAAGTCAAAGTCCAAAAACAGGAGGCTGGGCACAAAGAAACAAGAAAAATCTCAGGAAGACTAAGACACTAAAAATTAAGACCTATTATCTGGAACAATCTGACAACTTCATCTGCATTTATGCACACTGATGAGACTATTTACTGGCTGAACACATGCGTGGCACAAAAAGGGTGTGAAACAGAAGAAAGCATGGGAGTGGAACTAACTGGCAACCAGAAATTTCAAAATATAAAGGAAATAACAAATACAGCACAGGTGACATTAACACAAGGAGGGATACTACGTAGAGAAAGCAAAAGTGACAGCAAGAGACAAGTATCAATGATTCCAAAATAAAACAGGAAATAATTAAACAGAAACTCCACATTTTATATTTACCATTTAGTGGGTGTAAGTGTCGCTCCCCCAGTTTACTGTTTAAAACAAGTTCATTTCCCTTTAAAGTAACCTGCCTTTAAGCCATTTTTCTTCTGATTGGCTGCGCCTCATTTACCGCAGGATTGAACAGGAGGTGAGTGGGGCTTCTGTGCTCACAGTCAGAGCTGCATTCCTCAGATAAATATTTATTACAGATATCTTTTGTGTTGCATAAAATAGAGCCAGGACTTTACAGCAGGAGCTGGAGCTTTTTCTTCTTAGGGATTACCTGTGATTTCATCTTTGGATATATTTAATAAGAACAGATTGTAACAGTGTGAAGAACATAAAAATAAAGAAAAGCAGAACTGGTGCTCTTTAAAGCCACAAGCTACTTATCCATCAGATTTCTGACCCTGAAGCTCCCTAATGCTGATTTCTGAAAAAAGATAAAGCCTCCTTTCCTTCAGAAATCTGTGGAAAGCGCCTCAGTATTACTTGACTGTGCCAGATTTAACTGGGATTGAAACATTGTTCTATAAACACCACAAAACTACAGCCAGAAAGATAACGCATAGTTGGCTCATAGAAAAAAAAAAGATAGAAGGTAATTTAGTATTAAATATTAGCTTGTACTAAAGTTTTATCCTGACTTTCTGTCTTCTTTGGTACTTTTGTCCCTCTTCTGCACTTTTATTTCTACCTTTTCTCTAATTACAGATTTGAAAATGAACCACTGTATGTATGTAAAGTTATGGGCGACATGTCTTAAGTGTACCCCGCCTCTGCCTATAACAGCTAAATTGGACAAATGGTTGAGAACATGACAGTTATCTTGCTTGCTTGCATGGTTTTCATATTAAATAGTCCATTACAGCACAGATCTTCATGTAGTTTGAGAATCATGGAGAAAAATGCCTTTAATCAATGAGAACTAATTGGAGGGAGATAAGCCGAAGAAATGCTCGACCAATGTTATACGAAGTTCATAAGTGGAGGAGTATGTAGATACATGCAGAAGTATTCGCTTGTTGAACAACATGAAAACGTCCTGCATGTATAATTGAATGTTTTACCTGTCAAGGTGAATTCTGCATTCCTCGTTTTAAATGTTATGTTGAACTCTCCAGTCAAAACACCAAACATGACTAGAATCCTAAAGTAGGTTTTACATAGACAAAGCAGCATCAGTGCAAAGCAGGAGTCTCTTACAGAGACTATTCATATGGTAACTAATCCAACCCAAATGAGCAACACAATAGTTTCCACATGCTGCCTGCCTCTAAGCCTTTGCCCATTTAATTGGGCAGTGGAAAGACTTCAAACGGAAGCGATAATCGTCAGTGCGAATCACCATCTCACTGGCACGTCAGTCCAGTTCTACTAATTTCATACTGGCTAATTAATAAGCAGGTGCTCAAGCCCCTCACTGTTCATATCACAATATTTTTAATTGGAATGCCTTCAGATCACACCTGGGCTCCTCAGCTGAATATACGGGACAGGCTGACTATACAGAGAACAGGAGTGACTGGTGGTGTCACTGGGTCAAATATAAATAACTGTCCTCGATACACAAATACACGGGCTATATGAGAATGAAAAGGAGGAAGAGAGAGAGTTAGCATGGTAGACACATTCTTCTGTCTCGAGATTTGATTGGTTGTTGATGTCACTTGAAGTGCTACAACCTTCTTATTTTGGCTCTTCTCGTACATATGCTGTGTTTAGTGGCACTAAAGTTTTGTGTGGATTATTATGATTTGCAGCAGCCTGTATCCTGCATTTTACAGCGGGTAAGCCAATTGTAACTATTCTTTATATTTAACATCCTTGTCTGCAAAGTAGGTAGTAACTAAACCTTTCTTTCTGTATAATGTAAGATAAAGGTACAAAATGCAGATATTTATCTGCCTGCTGCTTCTGTTTGCACTCCAATATGAAAAATTCAGAGCAAAAAACGTTTTTGTTTTTTTTTTTTATCTTGCTTTGTTACGAGAAAAAGGTATCTCATACCTAAAGTCTTTTGTAATAATAATAATAATAATAACTTCAAAGAAGTTGCACCAAGAAGCAGTTTAGCTCCTCCAAAAATAATAATAATAATAAAGCTGACAGAAAGATTTTGGGGCTACCTTAAAACTTTGCCATGAATTTATGCAGTTTGGACTACATGGATGGGATACATGGAAGGCTAGACATTCCAGATGTCAATGGGCTCACTTTCTGTTTGGCAGAAACTTGGCATTGATTTCTATTGTCCCAAATTTCTATACCCCCAAAAAATCTAACTCCATCTGAGACTTATTCTGAAGACCACATGTGCCCGTTTTGGCAAAGATTGAGAAAAGAATTTGACCTGTAAAAAAAGAATTTTCCATTAAATTAAAATGGCAGAAAGTCAAGTATGGTAGAAATTTACATCATAGTGTGCTTTGAACTCTTTTGCTTAAAAAAAATTCCATCTTCTTTTGAAATTGTAAAAATGCACTTTTAACTTTGATGGCGTTGGAGTGTTTGAGATGCAGACAAAAAACAGAGGATTGGTCTCAATCGCATTACATAAGTTTTGATTCAAGGGGCTAGAGTCCAATGGCAAGAGAAAAAGAAGGGTATGCGTATTGTTTCAACCCTCAGGATGTAGCGACATGTACACAAATGAATTAAGCCAGGTTTTACAATTATTAAGACAAGGATTTAGTAGGAACAGATACTTCAGTGTGGGGAGACAAAACCCCCACAGAGTCTGCTGGCTGAGGGAAATTGAGATAGTTGGAGGGTTTGCTTTTTTTAATGCTTATCAGGTGACACTGAGGAACAGTTGCTTGTTGCTTGGGCTTGTCAAACAAAAACAAGAAGGAAGGAGCACAGAACGGCATTCAGATGTAACAGTAAGAAAAGATACAAAGATTACAGGAGTTTTGCTTCTTGGTCCTCAATTGTGACACAAAACACTGGAAACAAAAAAAAACGAGTAAATGTTACATGAGACAACTGGGGTGAATAAATGCAAGAAGTTAATACAGTATAGGGCATAGCACACGTTCTCGATAAATAAGTGACTAGACAGCTTAGCTTAAGCTTACTGAGAACTCAAGGGTGACTTCTTCTGCTCTCCAAACTGAGAAATTTGTAAGTTATTAACTAAAAATGTTGTTAAATCAGCCCTGGGGACAAAGATAACTTTGAGGTCATGTAGCTCAGCTGCAAAACAACAACCTTGCTCTGTTTGTCTGTGAAAGTGTGAATGTTTTGTTATTCAGTAATCTCTTTTTTTCTGTTTGCTTCTATTCTCAAAAGACAAATAATACTGCTAGGCTGACTTAGCTGAAATGTGTAGTGTGTGGGATGGAGGAAAGGGTTATATGTGCTACACACACACACCTCATGAACACCCACGCTCACTGTGCCAGGTCTCACTCGTCTCTCTGTGTCTCCGAATCTCTGCAGGGGGGAAGCATATTGCCTAGTTTTTTTGGCAGCTTTACAGAATCAATGCTTGAGATAAACTGTACTCTTGCCAAAGTTAAATAAACTCCCCGAGCTGGAAAGATAAGGTTTCTGCTGGAGTCCCACGTAATGGACCAACTGAGTTATTTGACTTTGTCAGAAGGGGCAAAGATACATTTAAAATGATTAAAATTATTCAAGGTTGCACACTTAATACTGGCTTACACAAACCTTTCTGAAATCCTTTTTGAATTATTACCTGAATTAGAGGGAGTTGACAGGCCCAAGATCCACTTTTTTTAAGAATATGCTGAATGAAAATGTTTGACATGAGTGTTGATATCATCCAGTACACACACAGCATGCAACATAAGTTCTGTTTGTGAAGCGCCTTGAGGCGACTTATGTTGTGATTTGGCGCTATATAAATAAAATTGAATTGAATTGAATTGAATTGAATTGTTTGTCTTTAAAACTCTGAGTCTCTGTTTGCTGTCCCAGCTGACTCCACGTTCCCTTTCCCCTTGCACTTTTATCTCTTTATACCAATTGTTTGTCTTCTGAATCTAAATTGGATTTAGTATAATTCCACCATAGGATACTGTATTATGATATTCATGTTATTGTCTGCTTATATTCATCTGTTCCATTTTTCTATTGGCAACCCTGGATTTTTGTGTTTTTGTGCCTGGTCTCATTTTTGGTTTTCTGGTGTTGCTACTTATGGGTTAGTGAGCTCAAGCTTGAGAGTTGTTATTAAAAGGTAACTTTAAAGCTCAGTGACACACTGAGCTGCGTATATTAATAGATGTGACTTGACCTCTCAGCCTGTGTGCGTCTGTGAGGTTCCTGAGTGTATTCTGACTTGTATTTCACAGTGGAGTGGTAAGTCAGTAGAGGGTCCTCTCTAATTAAATGGAGGGGAGGGCCACAAGTCTCATCCTCTGAACATACCAGTCTTGTGTTTATATTAACTCCCTGAAACACTTGGCTGCCCGCACAGAAACCCTCCAATAACCATATTTGGCCACACTGACAAAGAACAGAGATCTCCCCTAACCCCCAGTTTTCAGAGTACCTTCAGTCAAAAATGAGCTGCCTATTTTCTTTTTTCTTTACAATAGGATTTAAATAACTTACTTACCAAGCGTGAATGTTGTTTTAAGCTGATGAGAATACTATCATTCTATATGAATATGAAGTTTTAAACAATGACATCCTTGCACATAGTAACTTGGGCTTATTTTCCCTTCAACACTTTCTATCCTCCTGCAGGTTTTGGAACCCAATTATCCCACTATACTTTGGAAAATCTAACATTTTCTGTATGAGAGGTGTCAAAAAATAAAGCAAACAGCCAGGAGAAAAAAAATGCTTGACACAAAATCAGCTGTTACCTGGATGTGAGCTGCAGATTAGGAAAGTATACACAGTCAGAAATTTACAGGTGTTAAAATTCTGCAGACAGACTCGAGTAAGGCAGTCTCATTAACTGATATCGAAGCTTCGTTTCCTGGGAACGCTACACCTGGATCGAGTGTGTGTGTGTTTGTTTTCCTCTCTGTGACAGAGATGGGGGATTTTTGAAGAATATCTTATTTTTGAAGGGAGATTTCTCCTGTTTCTTTTTGTGAGTTAGAATAAAAGCTATCCAAGGTGCACAGGGTGACTCATTTCAAGTCCTTTTTTGTCTCACCTAGATATAAAGTGCCAAAATAATTCGACTGAGGGTTGTTTAGGAGTTTTGATTAGTTATCAATAAAAACCTCCAGCATTCAACACTACTCGTTCTTGCACAAGGAAATCTCACATTAGAGTTTTGCATGACCTCCAGGTAGGAAGTGAACTCTTTCTCTAGGCTGTTTCTCATCATTGCTCTTCTCAGTTTTCTCCGACGCACACTTAAAAACACACTGAACACACAACAGCGTAAAAATGATCCTGACCAAGTAAACTTCTTCTAATCAATTACATTAAAACAATCAAACTATACTTTTTCTTCTCTTCTGTCTCATCAGGATCCCCACAGACGTGGACCCCCTGACAGTCTTCGCCTCTTTGTCTCCTGAGGGTGTCCTCATCATCGAAGCTCGGCAGACACCTCCATATTACCTTTTCAGCGACGAGGGATCCCAAGGTGGTGAAAAGCAGGAGGTGGAAGCCTCCAAGCCCCAGATGGCTCCTATGGTCTAAACACATCATTCTGGACAATCAGTTACCAGTTTGATGTGAAATGTGTTGCCTCTAGCCTCATGTTGTTTGACACCTGGAGGTATTTGATGTCCAGATTAAAGTTAAACCAGGCATTTGTTTTTTCTGTTGGAAAATCTATTTTTACAAGCTCAGACAATGATGAAAAGTGTCATTTTCCCATTAACAAATAGATGCTTATGAATTTTCCAGAATAGTCCAATAGTCCCTTTTTTTAAGTAATTAACAGGTGTAATTATGAAATAATTTGGCTGTTTCTTTTCAGGTAAAAAATTTGCCCATGGCAGAGTTTTTAATAAAAATTGTAGAAGGCCAAATGTGACTGCTTTTTGATTTCCTTTCAGTCGGGCTCAATTCAATTTTTAAAACTTTAGAATCAAAGAAAATCATATAAAAGTGAAGTTTTAAGTGTAGCAGCCTTTCCAGCATATATTTTTGTTCTTTCGTTCACCTTTCCTTCCTTCAGTTTCTATAGGTTTTTTTATTTAACATGATGTCATTGAAATTGACAAGAAATAAAGGTAATATTATATTTCTGTGTATCCAGAAGGTTAATTTTCTGCATTAATGCACACAATATATAATATTATTTCACAGTGTATTGTAAATATAATAGTGCCAATTCATTATAAATCTTAATCTGAAATGTTCTGCATTTTGCAATATGGTTTGAAATTTTCTTTTCTATTTGAGCATTAAGGATGATGGCTGCATGATTGTTGGAGAGGACAGACTGCCTTCTTTTCTGTTGATGTCTTTGTATTGACTGATGCAATAAACATGTCCAGCCAATCGCCCAGTGTGTCTTAACATCTGTGTCTTACATTGAGAACTGTGCCACTCGAGGGACCCGTTCCAGGGCTCCAGAGAGCCTGTGGTGTTATTGTTGGATAAAAGAAGGAATTGGGCAGCAGATTAGCGGAGGGCTTAGTGCTGGGTGAGACTGGCATCGCTGTGTGCTGCAGAATGGGCTGAACTCATTGAGGCAGCCCTGCCAGAGCCTTTGAATGCGAGTGTAAAAAAAAAGAAAGACTGGGGCCGTTCCATTGCCCGTTGTGTGATGCAAAATAATGTAATCTTCCCTGTGCATTGGAATCAAGAGGGATGATCGGTTTGAATTGAAAAAGTTTCCAATCTGGAGTCACGCGGTGGAAACAACAAAAGGCTTGGACTGTTTCGGCTTTCCAAAGTCACCGCTGTGTGCGATGTGTAAGCTCACATGAAGTGTTGCATTTATTGGTATTATAATCATGGACTTCAATTATGCTGTTGCCATGGCAGCAGCAATACTGGAGTCACACCAGTTTTTCTTTTTTTTCCCTTAAGCAAGTAATTCACGTTGAATTGACTAATGCACAGCTGTGCAAACATATAGCACCTGATTAGTGTCAAAACCACTTTGCTGAAACAGCTTGATAACATAGTTTCAGAGGTAATTGTGAATATGATTCTTACAAATGTGATTCCTTGTTGCTGATAAACAGTTTCAAAATCACACATAACGACGCATTTTATAATTGTGAGAACATAAAACCATTAAGACATTAATAACATGACACACAGCATATTATTTATTGTTTTCACATGCTAGTGCTTTATTGGAGCTCCACCCATAGCGAGGCTGTTATATCTAATGACTACAATGCATCTGTGAGACTAAGCAAGGCAAGCAGTGCTGGCTGTTTCATTACTTTATCACCATTATATTGTTTTTATTCAGTGATCTCTTGCTGTATATTTGCTGCTTCCAATTGCTGGCTCTGGACCTGTTCCCCAGGCTGAGTTATGCTAGATGTGTCTGTGTCTGGGCCTTCTTGGCTTTCCACTGTTTCTGGCTTTGTAGAAGAATCTTGAAGGCCGTCTGTGCTTTCGTCACCTTCAGGCACTGAGGAGGGGGAATCTCCAGCTGGCTTTTCATGGGTCTCCTCTTCTGTTTTCATCCTCTCATCATGCTGCTGAAGCCCGACTGTGGCACCTTCAGTTTGGGCCTGATCTCTATGGACTTCTAATGAACAGCCTTCCCCGTGATCCTCTGAGGAAGCAAACTCTGGGTGGTCTGGTGCTCTCCCGCTCTCTTCTTCTTTCTCATCTTTTACCTCCGGTTCTCCATTATCCTCCACTATCACCTGCATTTATGCATAAATATGTTAAAAAAAACAAACTAAAACTAAAACTAAATACCAGCAAAATCAAGACAGTTATTAAACTGGACATAATATGAAAAGATTGTTAGGAAACTGTCTATAAAAATCTGTATTTTAAAGGAAGTGTTTCTTAGGAGCAAATCAAAAAGATCAATACCTCTCTGGTGTCTGCGTGGTAAATATTGTACTGTTGTCATGTTTTGTGGCTCATCTACAAAAAATAGTACATCAGATAATTCCTGAAATGTTGAATTTCTCCACATCTGTCTGCATCCTAATCTGAGTAAGCCACCCACTCGCTCTAGCATTGTGAATTACATGTGCCAGACAAATATGTCAGTGGTACTGATCTTTTCTTCCACCCCTTGGCAAGTTATCAAAATATATAGTATTTCTTTAACCAACTTTAAAGTTATCAGCACCTTTATGGGAATGGGGATTGTAGCAGGGACAGAAGTTTCGGGAACTGGAGCTTCCACGTTCAGAAAACCATCCACAGAAAATGTGGATGAGATTTTGGTAGCATCCATCTCCACTGGGAGCCTGATAATGACACAAACAGGTTTACAGTGGCATGACATACAAAGCGTAAATACTGAAACAGATGTACCTAATATCTAAATGTTCAGTTCAGCAAACATTTGAGAGATTGAGTACTGTTGAAAAAATACCATCAGTGCTGCATGCTTGGCTGCTGACTAATGTTTTAAATGGCTTAAACTGCATATTTCATCATCTGCAGGTTATTGTCAGTGTTTACTTTGCATACCTGTACTTCCTTGTAAAACATCTGGCAATGAATCCATGCTCGTCTGGCCTCTCCTCGTGCTTCCCTGGGGACGGATTACCATTTATGGGGAAGAATGCGAGGACACACAGAGGAATCAAGCAACATAGAGAAACCACTCAACACGGAAATTAATTTCTGCCACAGAGCAGTGATTTTAATTTCCCCAAGCACATTATTTAAGCAGCTTTCTAATTTTGTTACATTCAGCTTTTTTCCATCAGTGTTTCATTTTAAGGATTTTTTTCCCTGTGAACTATAAGAAAAGTCTTTTTAAATAACTCTTTGAGATAATATTTGATAGCTAGATAAGATCTTTAATACTTCATTAAGACCCGAGACTATCCTGTGTGTAAAAGTAATTAGCAATGTTAATAAAGTGAACTCTTCAAGCTGTTTAATTAACAGAGATGTAAGCCAATGTTCTATACCTCTGACTTCCAGGAATCCATCTCTGATGCTGAGAGAAATCTCTGAGGGGGTGAAGTGAGCCACATCCATGATGACCCTCCACTTACTAATCGTCTGGCTTGGATGATGCATCGACCCAGAGATGTAGGGCACAAACAGCGGAGCGGGTATGTACCCTGGCCAGGAGCAGGCTGCCAAACTCCTCTGCAACCAGTCCACATCCATCCAGCGAGCATCCCCTGACTCCAGGAAAGATGGCAGGCCAGCATCCTGACTGAAAAGCTGGCTCAAATGCCACCACTTTCTCAAGGGGTACCAAGGGGCACCCCTGCTGTACTCCCCACACGATGTGTCTGCTTTGACCTGTTCGCTCATATTTTGAGAAATGAAAGAAGATTTTAAAAAGGACACAGCAGATTTCTTCTGATGATAGTTAGCCAGTAAATTATGAACTCCTGAGGCTAAATCAGTGAAATTCCAGCAATTAAAATCTACTTAAAGGACAAGGGAAGGATAAAAGCAAAGTGTGATGAGACACAGAAAACTCAGAGGGGGTTTATATAGTGCTCCTGTCCATTTTAGCACTTATTAAGCACTCATGTGATCCCATGAGAAGGCTGCATCGGCATGGGGTGATGCGTGTGAAGACGAGGCTGCTACCTTTTGCTGGCCTGAACAAGGCTGCAGACTAATTAGTTATATTTATAACTTTTATAGGCAGGATGGCAAATAGGCAGAAGCAGGCTATGGCTGGCTTGTGTTTGAAATGTTACATGTGTCGCCTGAAGACTGCTCCTCTCACATCCCTGTGAACTCTATTTTGTCAGCAGTGACTGGACTCCTCAGTCTTGTCATGAGCCAGTCATAACTCCCCTGAATTTTTACCCTCGAAGGACATGCAGTGGTAACAGTTTGTCTCGGTGAGAAGACAGAAGAAGACAAAATTGCTCCTTTTTGCTGTTATTTTAAATGTTTCAGTGGCATATGTGTGTGTATCCAGTTTACAAAGCTCCTTTTCATTCCATTTTTCTTTTCCCCACCACTTTCAGAATGATTATCATTGTTCCCGCTTTTATCAAGTGTGACAGACACATCACTGCTTCATTTTTAGAGCTGTGTGCCCTGAGATCTTGGCATAATGTCCACTGGACCACAAAGCAAATTGAACAGATGTTTCTGACACTTCGTGTGATGCCTCACCCACAGATTCTGTCTGCGGGATACGCTGTGAGCGGTTAAATTGGGATTCTTGCCTGCTGCTGCTGGAGTTGCCTGAAAAATTGGTTCCTTTGTTTCAAACATCATTAAAGATTTCCATCTCTGCTGAAAGAAGGACACACAGACTGATGGTGCAATAGGGTCTTCGTACTCTTCGTTAAACTAGCTGGGGTGGGAGTGATAAGAAATTTAACAGTTATGTGGAAAGAACAAAGCAGGGTGACTACAATTTTTAAGACTTGTTAGAATTATTTTTATATATATATATATTTTTTTGTAGGTGTTATTTAATGGAGGTTCCGTTGTGTTAGTTTAAAGAAAACATTTAACAGCAAAATATCAAATTATATTCTCAGTTGTGAGGTTTTTTGTTTGTGATAGTATATCTGCCTTTTTTGTGCATGTGTAGGGTATTTTTTTTTCTTTCTTGGACAAATATATTATCAGCCAATATGTGGGCTTGCAGCTGTACAGAAACACTTGCTAGCCAAGCAGGTTTCAGCAAAACACCAGCAGCTGATTTTCCTGATTACTTCCTCCTCTGCACTTCCTCTGGTTGTTAATTAGTGGCAGAGGTTCAAGTGGCTCCTGTTCATGTCTTCTCTGTTTTCCAATCTTTTTTTTTTGTTTGTATATGTCTGAAATAAATAATTGGACTCAGGGGAAGAGCGTAATCTTTTATATTCAGCATGTTAAGATTCAAGGTTAAACTCAAGAACTGTCAATATGGAAGCTATAAGGTATAAAAAGGTAGTTTTGATTGTTCTTAGATGAAAAATTACTTTTGATTTCCCAACCACATTCTGGTTAATTAATGTTGAGTGATCTCATTCAGAGGGCTGATTTAATAAAATATTCTCAAACGTCTTGATCAAAACAGCCAGTATAATCACAAAACTGAGTGGCGATTCCCTAAAGCGGTCTTTAACCAAATAATGAACTCTGATAAAAACAAAGAAAGCTGAAGTAATCTGTGAACAGTAATCTGTGAATAATGTGTCTTTTTCATGGCAGGTACTGTATACTGGTGGTGAAAAGGCACGTTCAGAAACTGGAAGGTAATTTATTTTAAAAGGTAAAAATTATATTAGTTTACACTTTTCCACAAAATAAAGTAAGAAGCAAAAATCAGAGGAACGGAAGAAAGATTTGTCACAATCATGGGTCATTTGACCCAGCGTTTTGAGTTTAATACATTTTGATGTTTATGGTTTATGTTTAAGTTCATTAGCTCAGCGGTTCCCAACCTCCGGGCCACGGACTGGTACCGGTCCGTGAGTCGTTTGGTACCAGGCCATGAGAGTGGAGGCTAAGGAGTGAAATTTATGGTTTTCAGGGTTTTTATCGTGAACTCGGTTTCCCTGGGTCTTTTCCCGTGTTGTAGTTGTGTGTCTTATTTTGAAAGAAATATTTATGCTTCACCATAGCGACCAGAGAACATTAAGGGGCAGAGAGGAGGATGTTACGCTCAATGTTGTTGCTGCATTTCAGGAGGACGCTGCTAATAAAGTTACATAATAACACACTGAATTTGCGTTAATTATTATATTTACAAAATACCACCGTTTTTGTCTTGGTCGTATCATTTGATTTTGTTGTATTTGTCCCCGACACCTTAAAGGCTGGTCCGTAAAAATATTGTCTGACATTAAACTAGTCCATGGCACAAAAATGTCCATGGCATTAGCTTATCTAAGTTCATTTCTATTTTGCCTGTGTTGCCCTGTTATAGTTCATTGTTTCTTAGATTCCCCTTGTGTCTTCACCCCTGTGTTTAAGTCTCCCTCGCCCTTCATGTGTTTCATGTCTGCATGTCTTATCTTGTCAAGCTCGTGTTGTCATGTCCAGGTCTCCTAATGTTTCCTGTTTTATTTTGCAGAGGTCTGGTGCCCCATGTTCATTGTGTTTGGTTTCACTTCCCCTGTGGCATCATTATGTTCATTCTAATCAGCTGTTTCCTCATGTGTTTCCACTCCCTCTGATCACCTTCTGTGTGCATTTAGTCTGCGTGTTTTCATTCATTGCTTCTCAGGCTGCCTGTCGAGTTCTCGTCATGTTTCCAGGTTTTTAATCATCGTCAAGGTTTCGTTCTTTGTCTGTTGTGTTTAGCATTTAGTTTTTCTCATTTTAGTTCTAGTCAGTTTTGCCTCAGTGTACATCTGCCTTTTGTTTTGTACCTTTTCCCAGCCACAAATAAACGGCTTGCTTTTTGTTAAATTATAGTTTAGTTCCAAGTGTCTGCATTTGGTTCCTCTTCCTTCCTCTGTGACACAAGTGACAAGTGAAACTGTGACAGGATCTTGGATGAGTCTTAGTAGGAGTAAGTCTCTTCTCTCCAACAAGAACATAGTGGGGATAGCTTAGGTTTGCAAAGTTGCATTGGAACAAACCACAGGACTTGTGGAACAATGTCCAGACAAGAGCAAAGTGGAGACCAAAGGTGCTTCAGTGGAGCAGTCAAAGTCCAAACCTCAACCCAATAAACTGCTGTCCCAGGATCTGTGCACGAATAAATGCCTGTAAACCTCAATGAAATGAAGCAACAGTGTAAAGAATAGTAAACCACAATTGTTCCACAATGATCTGATAAAGCGATGTAGAAAATGATTGTTTCAAGTTACTGCTGCTAAAAGTGGTTCTAACAAGCAACTAAATCGTGGGGCGGGTTATTCACAGCACTGCTTGGAGTCCCTGAAATCTTTCTTTTTCACATTACTCTTCATAAGAAGATTGGTGGATGGAGTTAGATACTTATGCATGTAAACAGAAATTCTACATTTGATGTGAGAAACAGAGTAAAAAAACTAATTTTCAAAAAATCAAATCACACTGCTGAGAACTGCTGCTGAGATAGCAGCGCTGATAAAGAAGCTCCCCGGGTATGAAGTGAAAATCCTAAATGGCCGTCACATCCGGGAAACCGAGTGAACATGAATATAGGAGCAACACATGGAAAGATGTGTTGTTGTTGTTGTTGTTAGCCTCCATAGACAGCATGACTCCAGCCCAGTTCAGTACAGTTTTGTTTGTGTGTGTGCTAATGTGAGAATAAGGGGGAATGAGAGACTTCAGAATATATTCTCTCAGATGATGAGTTTCCCCACCCCACTGTAAACACATCATTGCCAAATCGTTTTGATGCTTTGAATCAGGATTAACTTCAAAGATCACTGGAACTTTATTCATCTCGCCCAAAATAATAAATGTCTTTTGAAGGAACTAGACTCCCTTTCTCCATCTTTTCTCTTTTTTTTTTTCCTGATTTCTGATTCATGCCATCCCATCTGGCAGCTGCTAAAAATCAGAACATCTTCATGGTTCCTCCTGTTTTCCTGCCTTGAACTGCTAATACCCTTCACAAGTGGTATCTTTATATCTCTCTGTGTATGTGATCCCTTTCATTTCACGGCAGGGCTTCTATCACTCATTCATCAGCCCCTCCCCACAGGCCACGCAGAGTAGACTCATCCAGACCTGTCACTTCGTCTACTTTTAATGGACGCTGAGTTTTCTCTTTACGCAACTGTGTCGCAAAATAAACAATTCTAGACCCAGACGACAACACATCTTGGACTTGCAGTCAAACAATGGGGAACGCATCCGTGACCCAGTTTACTTTAAGGTGACCTCCGTGTGACTCCAGTGAGAGAGGATCTGTGAGAGAGAGTTTTGAAGGCAGTTTTCCTAATCAGGAACACAGATGCTGTCTTATCCCCCAAAGACTGCCCCCACTAACAAAACACATTTGAAGTAAGACATTGCCCATTTTAAGATGATTAGAGCCACCTATGCACAGGAGAGGGCTCAGCAGAGGCCAGTCACACCAAATCAAAAGGCTTCAAACAGCCTGCCATGGATCCGCAGGATATTAGGAGATAATGCATCAAGGGGGATGAAGTGTCAAATGGCTGGTTTGTTCCTGTGGACACTGCATTCATCATAGTTATTGCGAGGTTGGCTCAGTCGGCCGTCTGGCCGGCAAATAGAGAGACGTGTCTGTATCAGAACTGACACATTACAATGGGGTAACTTATCTATCGAAATATATTTTGGGAAAGCTGTTTTACAAGTTATTGCAGCTAGTAGGGAGTCAGAAATAATATCGAGCAATGCTTGAACATGGAAAAAATGTTACTGCTCAAAGAAATTTGTTCTTT